AACTTTCATTTTTTTAAAAGAAAGCTCTTTTTCTTTTTTTTAACTTAAGACTATAACTTTCAACACAGATCTGGCTTTCTAGTAAAACCTCCTTTATATCACATTTATTATATGTACCCTTACCATAAATCAATGTCTTCAAAATACTGCATTTTTAAAACTTTTTATATCTCTAGCCTCAAGTAATGCAATTTAGACAGATGATAAGAGTCTTTTTTTCCTTCTTTCTTTCTTTTTAAGATTTTATTTATTTGAGGGGCACCTGGATGTCTCAGTTGTTCCGTGTCTGCCTTTGGCTCGGGTCATGATCCCAGGGTCCAGGGATTGAGCCCCACATGAGGCTCCCTGCTCGTCAGGAAGCCTGCTTCTCCCTCTGCCTGCGTCTTCCCCTGCTTGTGTTTCCTCTTTCGCTGTGTCTCTCTCTGTCAAATAAATAAATAAAATCTTAAAAAAAAAAAAAAAAGACTTTATTTATTTGAGAGAGAAAGAAAGTCAGTCAGGGGAGGCAGAAGGAGAAGGAGCCGCAGACTCCCCACTTACCAGGGAGCCTGATGCGGGGCTCGATTCCAGGACCCCAAGAACATGACCAAAGCGAAGGCAGATGCTTAACCAAATGAACCATCCAGGCACCCCAAGAGTATGAATTTCTTTACAGAACATAAATCCACTTGGATTAATGAACTTTCTCAGATACCAAATGTCTAAGCCATGACACAGAGAAGGCACTTACAAGATCACCCTGACATGGGGCAAAAACCCAGGCTCCCCAGCCATCTGCAACATCCAGCTGAGGTCTTTGCTTAATACTCCGGACCTTAAAACATCACACTGTGTAAGTAGGGTCAATAAAGACCTTTTCAACCACCTGTATCCATGTACTTAGTTAGCAGATCTATCTTTTCCTGCTTATTAGGCCATAAATGCTAATTCATATCCTATGTACAAAGAGTCACTGAGGTGGCACAATCATGACCCTAAGGCAATAATACCAACAAAAGAGCATCTGATTAGTCCATTTATAGTAAGATTTCTCTGCTATGAAATATTTTCCCACAACTGACATATAAGCATGATGCTAAAATAGAACAAAAACCCCTATGGCTATTATAATATACTTAATCGGAAAAAACACCAAATTCTCTAATTTAAGTGTAGAACAAGAGGCAGCACCTTTGAAAGTTTAAGTAATGAAGCCACTGAAACTTTCAAAATGAAAATTATAGACTATTCTTTGATTATTTATGACAATAAAGGAAACAATCAAAGAAGAAAAGCAATTTGAGGGGCGCCTGGGTGGCTCAGTGGATTAAGCCTCTGCCTTCAGTTCAGGTCATGATCTCAGGGTCCTGGGATCGAACCCCACAGCAGGCTCCCTGCTCAGCGGGGAGCCTGCTTCCCCCTCTCACTCTGCCTGCCTCTCTGCCTACTTGTGATCTCTCTCTCTCTCTCTATTAAATAAATAAAATCTTAAAAAAAAAAAAAAAAGAAAGAAAGAAAGAGAAAGAAAACTGTTTCAAGAGAGCCTGGAAATCCTACTCTCTTATCACAGTTTAGATAACTGGGACCTGGGGACTCTGTTTTCTCTGTGTCTGAAGATGACCTCAAGGCTCTCCAGATGGGGTCACTCCCACAGGGCTGTTACAGGCCCAGTGTTACATATATTCTCAAAGGCTGTAGCATCCTGGTCCTGGTTTCAACTGTACTTGGCATTGACTGCAGATCAAAAGGCTGACTTCATTGACAGAATGGGGGCAGATGCAACAGGCAGCTGAGTGGGAGTGCTCCTGAACCCTTGGCTTCCATCTTTGCCCTTGGTGCCTGCAGCTTTAAGATGCCCAAAACATAACATGTAGTGATGGTTTCTCACAACCACTTGTCAGCTGCTAAGCAAAATCCTGCAGACCCTGGCGGCCTTGCAGTGAAATACAATCTTGTACTCAGACAATAAAGAGCCATCCTCCTCAGCCACTTGTGCTACGAGAAGTAGCACATGCTAACAGTGATAAAATCTCACAGTGAGCATTTACTTTGGACTAAAATCTGTGCTAAGCCCTTTACATGCTTTAACTTGCACTTCATTCACTCATCTCACAATTTATTATCAAGAGCCCAGTAAGACAACAGGTGCTGAGATACCTCAGTGAATCAAACAGACATTAAATCCCTGAATTCATGGACCTCACAGTCTAGGGAGGCAGACAATAAAAGCTATAGACAAGTAAACTATGCAGTGTGTCCAAAGGGTTAAGTCATCCAAGTTTTTTTAAAGGGGTTGGAGAAAGTTTGGGAAAGGGGTGTGTAGACGGTCATACGGTTTCTAATTTTACATATGGCACCCACCAGCTGAGGAGAGCCTAGAGCAAAGCCTTGAAGGAGGGCCCGAGGGAGCTGTGTGGACATGCGGCAGCGCTCTCAGGCACAGGAAGTTCCAGTGCCAGACTTCGAGGCCGTGGGTGTGCCGGAGTGCCCAGGGAGTGACTGAAAGGGAAACATGGTAAGGCTGGAGAGGCAACCAAGGCCACGTTGGGAGGGCCTGGAGGCCACTGAGAGAACTCTAGCTTTTCTTCTGAGAGAAATGGGGACTTAGGGGGAGGTTCTGAACAGAATGAACTGTTCCAATTTATATTTTTCAGGAGTACGCTGGCTGTAGGGTTGAGAATAGATTGTGAGGGGGGTGCCTGGGTGGCTCAGTGGGTTAAAGCCTCTGCCTTCAGCTCAGGTCATGATCTCAGGGTTCTGGGATCGAGCCCCGCATCGGGCTCTCTGCTCAGCGGAGAGCCTGCTTCCCCCTCCCTCTCTCTCTCTGTCTACTTGTAATCTCTGTCTGTCAAATAAATAAATAAAATATTAAAAAAAAAAAAAAAGAATAGATTGTGAGGGTAGATTACGAATCTTTTGTCAGAACCAAGGTGAGAAATGATGGTGGCTTGACCAAGGCTAGGTGATGGTAGAGGGAAGAGCAATTCTCCGACTCTGGATGTAGAGCCAACAGAGAGTTTCCTAAAGGACAAAACAGCTCTGTAACTTTGGTGACAGATGGTAACTAGACTTATTGTGGTGATCATTTTGTAACATGTACAAAAACATGAAAGCCTGAAATTAATGTTATATGTCACTTATTCTTCAATTAAAAAAACTGATTTGACTGGGGCGCCTGGGTGGCTAAGTTGGTTAAGCATCAGACTCTTGATCTCAGCTCAAGTCCTGATCTCAGGGTCATGAGTTCAAGCCCACATGGAGCCTACCTAAAAAAATTTAAAATAAAAAATAAAATAAAAAATAAAAATTTATTTGATCATGAAGAAAAAAAAATAAAAAAACCTAACAGTCTGCAGATATGGGGTATAAGATAAGGGAGTTAAGGATGATTCCAAGGTTTCTGGAGGATAAAACTGTCATTAACTGAAATGGAGAAGACAGATTACAGGTAGGACAAGTTTAGAAAATCCGAAAACCTTGTCCTGGACACACGCCATCTGAGACTGACATCCAAATGGAGCTATTGAGTAGGCAACTGGGTATATGAGTCTAGAGTAGAGAAACAGACTGGAGATACCAGTTTGACAAATAACAGTTAGAACTATGAGAAAGAATATAGCAGCAGGGTACAGACAGAGAAGGCAGGCCCAGGAACTTAGCTTGGAGGTATACCACCATTTACAGGTCAGGAAGGGGAATCAAGCACAGGTGATGGGAGGAGCAGCCAGGGAGGAAGAGAGAAGACACAAGAGTGTGGCATTATGGAAATAAAAATTAACATCCCAGAAGACAGCATGCTCAGTGGCACCCTATACATACATAATCCATGGATCCATCTGGGACTCAAGGGTGGGAACACAGTCAAAAAATGTAGAGAGAGACTTGACACCTTTCACTATTTTTTTTCCTTTAACAGAAGGACCTTTTGAGGGGAGAAAATACCTCAAGTCATGACTTACAAATGTACCAGAGCCAAGAAGAAGGGGTAGAAGGCAAGCCCTTCTGTCGGGAAGGAGGCAGCAGCACCATCTTGTGCTCCATTATCCCTAACTGCAGGCATGAGCAGGTCCTCTGAATATGCAGTATACCTGCGACTGGCAGAGGAAGGGCCAGTCCCACCGCCAAACTGGACACCTCCTGCACAGGTGCTCTATGGGGCCCACAGAGCATCTTCTGGGTTGTCTGAGGGACTAATTCTCACAAGTCTGCTTATTTTTTAACCCACACCTGTTGAAATCTTGTAGTCACGCGCCTAAAGGCTAACTGCCACAACCGAGAGAATGCAGAGATGAACACGTGGAGGCGATCAGCCTACATCAGCTGAGAGAAGCCTGGGCATGGGCACTTCCACACTGACCCCAAGTGAAGCCACCATGCCCTAATGCTACAAACCATTTTCCAGCGCTCTGCAGCACCGTGCAGGAAGAGGCAGTATAGGGTCAGAGAAGGCGCTCTGACCTCGAAAGGCAGGAGACGTGGGTTCTGGTACTGGCTCTACCATAAAAGTTGTGTGAGAACAGCCAAGCCCCTTATAAGTGCACAAAAGAATGGACCTCATCTCAACCTCATGTTTCAGATTCTCAGTTTCCTTGTATGGACAATAATACCGAGCACAGAGGTTAAAAGAATGGGCTTTGGCGTCAGGTTGCCCAGGCCTACTGTTCATTGTTAACCTGTGTTAAGTTATTTAACTTTCTGAAACCTCGTTTTTAGTATCTATAAAATGTGGGTAACAGCACCTACCCCATGAAAAACTTGAAAACAAAATGCCTAGTAATGGTGTGGACTCTCCATTGCCTATCATAATGTCTAGAGAGCTGTCTTCCAAGACATATTTATGTATAACGAATCCTCCTATCTGTAATGATGACGTATTATTAGTAAGCTTCTGATAAAGATGTACACCAGAGCAGCTGAAATAATGTCAAGAACAAAGAAAATCACAATTTAGTTAGCCAAAAAAGTCAGAAGAATCAAAGAATTGACAGCAGAAGTGAAATACTGTGCCATACAAGATATACCTTGAACAGGGATCTCCCCATAGTTTGGTCTCTTATCTGTCAGTGCCGTCAGGGGCTTGGATGTAGAGATTGGTCCACTTATGGAATGTCTCTGAAATCGTAACATGAACAGTGTCAAAGTTAGCATAAATCTAGAGCTGGGACTCACAAAGTCAACACTGCTGAGAGTAATATTTAGTTGTAAATCTCCATCATTCTATCCATATTGTTATGGTAAGACTAAAACACACACACACACACTTGGAGGCATACAATGTGATCAATATATTTAAAAAATGTATACAGAAATATCCCCTGTGCCTATTACTCAGTTTTCCCCAATGGTAACATTTATAGCATACTATCACAACCAGTATACTGACATTGTTTTGTTTAAAGAGAATTCTTAACAATTACACACCCATCAGTGAAATACGGACTTGCACCTACTACAAGAGCCCCAGTACAACCTGGCATCTTAATTCAGCGCCACCACAATGGCTTTGCCTCTGGCTTTCTCATCTCCAGTCAGATACATGCATCTTTCTGCATGCAACCACAAGTATCTGCCACAAATATTTCCTCCTTCTTCCTCAGCGTTGTCTCCTGCCACCTCTGTGTAATGCTCAAATGCCACCAAACTATTCGTTTCCACATAGACCAGGGTGTTTACCGTCACTGTCCTTTCTGTCATGCTTATTTTCCCAGCTTTCCCCCCAGCCCTTTTTTATCCGGCGAACCTCTAACGACTCTTTTCATATTCTCAGCAGGAAAGTGTGCCAAGTTCAGCCTCTTCACATCCTTCCCAACATTTGAGACTGTCTTCTAATTTTAGCCATCCTAAGAGGGTACATAGTGAGATCTTTCTGTAATTTAATTTTTACTTCTCCAATGACTAATGATGTTGAACATCCTTTTATGGGTTTACTGGCCATTTGTCTATCTTCTCTAAGGAAGGGACTTTTAAAATCTTTTGTCCAGTATTTACTGGTTTGTCTTCAATCAAGATGAGGATGTTTTCTTGGAATACAAGTGTTTTGACAGGGGCGCCTGGGTGGCTCAGTGGGTTAAGCCTCTGCCTTCGGCTCAGGTCATGATCCCAGTGTCCTGGGATCAAGCCCCACATCAGGCTCTCTGCTCAGCAGGGAGCCTGCTTCCCCCTCTCTCTCTGCCTGCCTCTCTGCCTACTTGTGATCTCTGTCTGTCAAATAAATAAATAAAATCTTTAAAAAAAAAAACAAAAAACAAGTGTTTTGACAGATAAATGTAGTGTGATTATATTCTCCTGAGTCTATAACTTATCTTTTATTTTCTTAATGTCTCTCAGAAGTTTCAAATTTTGAAGTCCAGTTTATCAATTTTCCTTCACAGCTCCTTTTAATGTTCTAAATAAGAAATCTTGGCCTTCTCGAAGATCAGGATGATTTTCTCTAATGTTTTCATCCACAAGTTTTTTAGTTTTAGCTTTCACATATAGGTCTACAATCAATTTTAATTCTTATAAATGCCATGAGAAACAGCTGTGGTTATCTTTTTTCCATATAGATTCTAGCTGTTCTGGAATCCTTTGTTGGAAAGGCTACCCCTCTCCCACTGAATTATGTTGGCACCTCTGCTGAAAATCAGCTGGCCTATTTCTGGATTATCTAATCTACTGATATAATGTCTACATTTAAACTACATCAGTAAGTGCAGCTGCTGGTACTCTATTTGTGAGATGGGGAATTTATCAGCTTAATGAAGATTTCAAATAAACAAACTATGTCAGTACCACACTGTCTTTGATTACTCTATGTGCTAAAATCAGGTAGTATAAATCTTCCAAATCTGTCTCCCCTTCCTTTTTTTTAATCTCCCAGATGCCTTGGCTATTCAGGGTCCTTTGAATTTCCATATAAATTTAAAACTGTATTATCAATTTCTACAAAATAGCATGCAGGACTGTCACTCGGATTGTATTGGATCCCTCACTGGGATTGTGAGGGAGAGCTATAAGATAATAACAATCCTGAGTCTTCCAGTCCATGAATATATCTGTTTATTACTTCCTCAAATTCTCTCAGCAATACTTTATTTTCCATTATACAGATTTTGCACAACATTCTATTAAATGTATTGCTAAGTATTTCCATTTTCAATTGTTCACTGGAGTTACTAGATCTAAGAGAGCAAGAGGAAACCTCAAGACAGAAGATACTCTTTTTATAACCCTACCTTGTGACATTCCACCCCTTTTGCCATACTGTATTCATCAGAAGTGAGCCAAAAGTCCAGCCAACACTCAAGAGGAGCAGATTCCACAAGTGTGTGACTTCTGAGAGTCACTAAGAAGCACTTCAGAGGCTGAGGACCCAGTTACTTACGGATCTCCTCCTCTTCTGAGGTTTATTTTTAAGGCAGGTGTAGCATAGTGCTTACTCAAGAGCAGTGTAGTTCTGCTTTAGGGTGTGGCCCTCAGGGGTCTCTACGGAATGCTCCAAGTATTCCCAGATTTCTCCACGGTGGCCAGTTGGAAATCAAATGATTCCCTGCTCTCTGTGAACCACGGGAAGTGTTTACCTGATAACTCTTCTGTCCTGGGAATCTGTTCTTACTCAGCCTTGTGAGGGTTCACCCTGTGCCTGTGCAGACTAGCATTCAGGCAAAGACTCATAGGGATGCCTCCGCAGAGGCCCTTCCTCTGTGTAGCTCCCTCCTCCTAGGTCTTCAGCCCTGCAAATTCCAGCACTCTCATCCTCCCTGAACACCGATCTCTGTCTCCTCAGACTCAGTTAGTTCCCCCTTCCTGACTCTATCTGGCTTCATCCCCCCGGAACCACCATCTGGAACCTCCCAACAGGAAAAGTGTGGGCCCAGCAGGACTTTTATTTAAGGACCACAGTCTCATGCTGCCTGCTGTACATGTCTGAATGTAATTGCTTCCTTTAATTTGTCCAGCTTTCGAGTTGCTGGGGGTGGCAGAGTAATCCAGCCAGTCACTCCCTCGAAGTCAGAAGTAGAATTCCCACTCAGGGAGTTTTGAAAAACTAACAATCCCACTCTTAGGCCCTATTCCCTAGAGATTCTCACTCACTAGGATGAGGCCTGGGAATCTATGTGTTTAAAACCTCTCCACATGGTTTTAATGCACAATTAGATTTGAGAAGCATTGTGCTAACCGAGTACTAAAAAGCTACTGAATATGACTTACATTAACTTCTATCAAGGTACAGAGATGAAATTTTTCACCTCCTACCTTTATAAAGATTTACAAAGTCATGCTTTGTATATTAAATTTCAACCAACAAATATTAAAGAAATTTCACCTCTTTTGAAGTTTATAGTTTGCATCTTGAGGTCTACAGAAAAAGTCTGAGTAATAGAGAGCATATAAAAAGCATTAAATCTATAGTACGATTGGAATTCCCTTGCCTTCATGGTAAATTAAGAGCATTAACACCTTCTGTACACATGGAAATGCAGCACCACTAATTTGCCACATTACAAATGCAGAAGGAGTACACATTTACCCTAAATTTCACATAGGAGAAAGTTAAAAAGTAAGAACAAGAAAAACAGCAACAACAGATTCACTCGTAAAATATATGGCCAATAATTAACAAAGCACAAAGGTCTCAATTTAAAAATAAAATGCTCCCAAATGCTAGTTTTAGGGAAGAGGTATGGCCAAGGCTCCCCTGTATCAAAAGGTACTAGGTACTAGGTTTATGGCCAGTTTTCCTTTGGCTACTCTAACTTATGTGGAAAACTCCACCACAGCCACTATTTCCAAAAGCAGCTGACCAACAAGGGTACAGTGAGAGGCCTAATGAGCACTACAGAACAACCATCTCCCTTGCTTCTGGCCTACATTTCCACAGCAGCCAGGAAGAGCAACTTCAGAGACTTGTTTACAATGGATCAGCAATGCCCTTGTACTAGATGGCTAAAAAAAACAGCCCATAATGAACCTTCTGCAGAAACCCCAACTCTGAACCTGGGCCAGCCTTAGGATTTGGTTGAACCTCGAGACACCACACCATGAAGGAACCTGAGAGGAAATGCCACACGGAGTGGCCCAGGCATCCTTGCTGAATCCAGGCCTCAGCCCACCCTGTGGCTAAGTGCAGGTATAGAAGTGAGCCCACAGAAAGCCAGCAAAGCTGCCTATTCAACACACAAATGCGAAAATCATACAACTGCTCTTTTAAACCACTAAGCTTTAATTTGTTAGGTAGCGGAGGCTGACACACGCCAACTACATATCCTACTTAGAGAGATGGTCCCTGAACCCACACTGCTCAGGTTCAAATCCCCACTCCACCACTTCATTATATGACCCTCAGCAAGCTGCTGAACTTTTCTAGGCCTCAGTTTCCACATGTGAAAACTAGAGGTAAGAATAGTACCTGGTAGCCAACAGGGCTGTTGTGAGAATTACATAAATTCACATGATAAAGCACAGGGAATAATGTAGAACACACAGCAAGTGCTCAGTACTTGTTAGCTAGCACTATTACTTTCCGAAGAGTAACACAATGGACGTCTTCGTAATTTATCTCAATTAAGGATATTTACATTATTTTACAATCCTAACTACTACATTCCTCAGGAGGTAAGTCATTTGCCCCCCCTAACATAAGTGTAAATGACTTTTAGGAGGACAAACTTTTAGATGCTGAGGCTCCCACGGCCTCTATGGTCACGGACACTTACCTGCATAGGTGAGACAGCTGCAGCAGGAGGGGTTTTCATCGGACTTGGACTCAAAGGCGTGCGAGGAATTGTGGCTGCAGTGGGGTTTGGTACTACAGAAACAAACAAACAAATACTGAATGCATCATGGTAGAGTGGAAGCTTTTATAACTGGTCTCCCCTGAAGGATCCCTCAGGCTACCCAATGTTCTGGACCCCCTGGAAGCTGTCCTGAGGCCTAACCTCCTCGGTGCTCGCTCACAGTCCTGCTTAACAGGTGATGCTTCTCCTGCCATCAGGCAGACTGTTCCCTAGAGTAGTTGTGTTGATTCCCAAACTGGTTATGCCAATCATCTCATTTTTGCCATTTCATTAACTTGGGTAGTTAAAGAACTCCATGAGCCAATGCAATTCAAGTTCAAAAAACCCAAGAGGAATATTTCTGTAACTGCACCAGGTGAGAAGCTGGGCTCATAGTGGATATGCATTCAATGAAGGCACACTGGAAAACAAAAGCAAACAAAAAACAAAGGAATACTGGGCTCCCATTCAGCTTTTCTCATCTCCTCCTGCGGAGTTCATCACTTCACTTTGCAAGTACTTTCTGGTTTACATTTAATGCAGATGTCTGTTAATTATTCGCTTACACATCAATCTCCCTCTCTAGACTGAACTATTCAAAAGTCGGATCCATAATTTACTCACTTCCAGATACTTGGGCTTGATACAGAGTTTAGTAGAGGGTGCATAAAAAATGGTTATTTGGGGCACCTGGGTAGCTCAGTGGGGAAAGTCTCTGCTTTCAGCTCAGGTCATGATCTCAAGGTCCTGGGATAGAGCCCCTCATCGGGCTCTCTGCTCAGCAGGGAGCCTGCTTCCCCCTCTCTCAGCCTGCTCTCTGCCTACTTGTGATCTCTCTCTCTGTGTCAAATAAATAAACATAATCTTTAAAAAAAATGTTTGTTTGAAGCCAAATTAAAATCAAAATGGGACACATATATAAAATCAGGCACATCACACAGTAGGAAAAGATGAAAAGTAGATCATTGTGGACCTTTTTATGCAACCAAGTACTTATATTTAAATTGCTATTTTTAGATGCATTCTTTTACTGAGATAAAATTCACATAATAGGGGAACCTGGCTGGTTCAGTCAGTAAAGGATGCTACTCTTTATCTTTGGGTTGTGAATTCGAGCCCTGTCTTAGGTGTGGAGCCTACTTAAAATTAAAAAAAAAATTTTTTTAATTCACCTAATAGGGGTACCTAGGTAGCTGAGTAGTTGAGCAACTGCCTTTGGCTTGGGTGATGATCTCAGGGTCCTGGGATGAAGCCCTCATTGGGCTCCCCGCTTGATGGGAGGCTTGCTTCTTCCTCTCCACCACTTGTGCTCTCTTGTGCACTCTCTCTCTCAAATAAATAAATAAAATCTTTGAAAAAAATTCACGTAATAGAAAGTAAATAATTTTAAAATGTATAGTTCAAAGGTATTTAGTACATTCACGATATTGCACAGCCATCATCACTTCTACCTAGTTCCAAAATGTCCCAGTCTCTATTAAGCAATCACTCCCCATATATCTCTTCCCCAGTACCTGGCAACTGTCAACAAACTGCCTTCTGCGTCTATGGACTTAGCTATTCTCCACATTCCATAAAAACGGAATCTTATAACCCATGACCTTTTGTGTCTGGCTGTTTTCACTTAGCATATTTTTCACATGGTAGTATGTATTAGTACTTCCTTCCTATGGCTGAATAATATTCCTTCAGATGTAGAGACCACATTCTGTTTATCCACTCATCAACTGATGGACAGCTGGATTGTTTCCATGTTTTGGCTATTATGAGTAATGCTATTACGAACACTCATGTACAAGTCATTTGAATACTTTGTGTTAACTTCTTTTGCATATATAATTAGGCAGTGCAATATGGAGTCATTTAGATATATTTTATTGTAAAATATTGCCTTTTTTTTTTTTTTTTACATTTTATTTATTTGACAGAGATCACAAGTAGGCAGAGAGGTAGGCAGAGAGAGAGGAGGAAGCAGGCTCCCTGCTGAGCAGGGAGCCCGATGCGGGGCTCAGTCCCAGAACCCTGAGATCATGACCTGAGCTGAAGGCAGAGGCTTAATCCACTGAGCCACCCAGGCACCCCTGTAAAATACTGCTTTTTAAAAAAGATCAGTACAGAAGCAGATTTATCTTTTTTGCATTAGGGCCCATTTCATCAATATTCTGAATAACTTCATGACTTTAATTTAGTGTAGACACTCCATTATCATTTCATTTTAGAAGTACAGATTTTTGTAAGTCTTTCTTTCATCTTAGCTCCTCATATTACCCAGAGGTAGCCACTAACAATAGTTCCAAGTGCATCTTTCTTGCACTTTTAATGCAAAAATCTATGCACTTAAAAAAACAAAATGAGATCACACTATGAAATACTGGTCTGCAACTTACTCTAAAGGATTGCAGGCATATTTTAACATAAGTACTTTGAGATTTACCTCATTCTTATTAAAAAATGCACAGCATTCTATTGTACTAATGGGTCATAATGACTTAATCCTTTTAACGGGCTCTTAAGCAATTTCCAGGTTTTCCCTTTTTTTTCAAACAATCCTCCACTGAAAACTTTGTGTGTGTATCTTTATCTATATCTACCTATATACATTCTTTTTGAAGATTTTATTTATTATTTGACAGAGAGAGACATAGCGAGAGAGGGAACACAAGCAGGGGGAGTAGGAGAGGGAGAACCAGGTGAGCAGGGAGCCTGATGCCGGGCTCGATCCCAGGACCCTGGGATCATGACCTGAGCTGAGGGCAGATGTTTAAAGACAGAGCCACTCAGGGGTCCCTATATCTATATATATTTATAAACATGTGCCAGTATTATGTATTAAGAACTTCAGGATCTATGAATATGGCATTTTAAATTGGAAGATATTATCCTCCAAAATATCTGTACCAACAATGTGAGTATATAAGTGACTTTTGCTCTGATTTGAAGTCAAGGAAACTAATTTGCATACACTCACAGAATACAGATTATAGAAACTCTATTATTATTAGAAGGATTAGAATAAAGCCTATTGTGAAGTTTAAAGAATTTTTAGAAGAAAATGTAAGTTTTAGGACACATTATTTTACTCTTGTTAAGATTTATTTAATTTAGAGAGAGTGTATGGGTGAGTGGGGGGGCAGGCAGAGGGAGAGTGTCTTAAGCCAACTCCGCACTGAGGACGATGCCCAACCCAGGGCTTGATCTCACCACCCTCAGATCATGACCTGAGCCAAACCCAAGAGCTGGATGCTTAACTGACTGCGTTACCCAGGTGCTCTTCTCTTCTGTTTTTTCAAGATTTTATTTTTTTTAAATTTTTGTTTTTTAAAGATTTTATTTGACAGACAGAGATCTCAAGTAGACAGAGAGGCAGGCAGAGAGAGAGAGGAGGAAGCAGGCTCCCCGCCGAGCAGAGAGCCCAACGCAGGGCTCGATCCCAGGACCCTGAGATCATGACCCAAGCTGAAGGCAGAGGCTTTAACCCACCGAGCCACCCAGGCGCCCCCCCCCTTTTTTTTTAATTTTTGAAAAATATTTTATTTATTTATTTGAAAGAGAGAGGAAGAGAGATCAAAGAGGGAGAAGCAGACTTGCTGCTGAGCAGACAGCCCATTGTGGGGCTTGATCCCAGGACCTCTGGGATCATGACCTGAACCGAAGGCAGAAGGCAGATGCTTAACCGACTGAGCCACTCAGGCCCTCCTAGTTTTCTTTTTTGTTTTTGTTTTTTAAAGATTTTATTTATTTATTTGACAGAGAGAGATCACAAGCAGGCAGAGAGGCAGGCAGAGAGAGAGGAGGAAGCAGGCTCCCTGCTGAGCAGAGAGCCCGATGTGGGGCTCGATCCCAGGACTCTGAGATCATGACCTGAGCCGAAGGCAGCGGCTTAACCCACTGAGCCACCCAGGCACCCCTTTTTTTTTTTTAAAGTAATCTCTAAACCCAACATGGGACTCAGACTCACAACCCCAGGATCGAGTCACATTCTCCGCCAACTGAGCCAGACAAGCACCCCCATTTAGGGGTTTTTTTTTCTTTTTTTAAACTACATCTCTTTCCCCTTCCCAGAGCTGAGGGGGTTAGAGAAATTAAAAGGACCCAGTCATCTGAAGGAGGGAAGAATAAGCTTCCGGATACAGAAGAGCCTGTGCAATATGGAGCCTGGCCTGCTTTGGGACCTGCAGTCCAGTGTGGCAGGAATACAGAAGACAGAGGAAGAGTGGTTCAACTGGGATAAGAGGAAGGCAGGGTCAGACCACACAGGCATTGGGGATCTGAATTTCACTTTAACTACAAAAAAGCAATTAAAGGACTTTAAGCAAGAAAAGACCTTTCTATCAAAATGAAAGAGAGAGACTGATTAGGAAGTCACTGAAATTAGAAGCTGATGATGGCTTGTACTAGCAGTTGATTACGCACTAGAGATGGAGAGAAGTAGATAGAGCAAAGATGTGCATGCTGGAGGCTGGATCCACATGACCTGATAATGGATTAGATGTGGAAGTGAGAAAGATGAAGGATTTAACAAAGGAGGAAGATTCTTGGGGCGCCTGGGTGGCTCAGTGGGTTAAAGCTTCATGCCAGGTCATGTTCCCAGGGTCCTGGGATCGAGCCCCGCATTGGGCTCTCTGCTCCGCGGGGAGCCTGCTTCTTCCTCTGTCTCTGCCTGCCTCTCTGCCTACTTGTGATCTCTCTCTCTCTCTGTCAAATAAATAAATAAATAAAATCTTTTTTTTTAAAAAAAAAGGAGGATTCTTGGATTTCTGGCTTAAGTAATTGGGTGGAATGGTCCTGCCATTTACATAGGGGAAAGCCTAAAGCTCAGGGGCAAGAGTGCAGTTTGGGACATAACATGTCTAGGAGATACCTGAGTGTCAGTATCAGGGAAGCCTTTGGATTTATAGACCTACAGGAGTTCAGATGAAGGGAAAGGGCTGAATTCATACATCTGGAGGTTTTTCAGCATAGAGAAAACACTCGGAGCCTCAGGACTATGTGAAGACACATTTCTTTGAGGGGCAAGGCACCGAGTCTAAGAACAAGATCTCTGAAGCTGAACAGATCCCAAATCCCCTGCTAAAAGTCACCTGATAGTAAGACTAGTTCATTAATACTACATGGAATTTGATGAGGCTCAGAGAGTAAGACGGTAAAGAATATCAAACCAGACCAGAGAACAGATACTAAGTGAATGACGACAGCCTGCCCTTGGCATAGGATTTAAGAAATTACCTTGTGATGCACTGTCGAAGGACTTGATGAGGGTTTTCACCGTAGGGGTTGGCTCGGAGGAAGTTGAAGACCTTCTACTCAGTCCCATCCCTTGCCTTAAGGCTGCCAAGTCTCTCTCAACAGCATTCATATAGTTGTACACCCGGCCTCGCTCCTCCTCTTGCCTGAAAACAATAGTGAAATCAGGCCTTTTTACACACATACTAGCAAATACACATTTTTGCCTCCCTACCGAAAAGCGTTAAAGAGTATCACTTAAAAAAAAAGACAGTATTGGGGCACCTGGGTGGCTCAGTGGGTTAAGCCTCTGTCTTCTGCTCAGGTCATGGTCTTGGAGTCCTTGGAGTCCATTGAGCCCTGCATCAGGCTTTCTGCTCAGCGGGGACCCTGCTTCTCCCTCTCTCTCTGCCTGACTCTCTGCCTATTTATGATCTCCCTCTCTGTCAAATAAATAAATAAGATCTTAAAAAAAAGAAAGAACAAAAAAAGTATCAGTAGAGCTGAATAAATTACCTAGTCTAATATTCTCGTTTGTTTGGTAAATTCCAGGAAACAATATTATAATTTTTATATTGGGTTGTACTAAATATATTCAAAAGTAACCAAAAGAATCCATTTTCATCTGAGTAAGTGTAAGGTGAGAACATCAGTAATCAGCTAGCAGTAAAATGCAAAGTGGGCTGGCCAAAAATAACTTGACTCAGAACTGGGATTTTGAGATTCTGTCCTGCTTTGAGGAGTCTGGGAATTCACCAGTACATATGGGTTATCTATACTGGCCCTATCTAATATGCCATGCACAAACAGGAAAATACAAAAGAAATGAAATCAAAGTTCATATTCTTTAAAACAAACCTTCTGTAGTATCCAAATAGAATTTCTACAAAGAAAAAAACAAAACAAAACCTGGGCCCTATTAGTAACATGAGTCTCTGAGATGCTCAGTGTTATGGATCATGATTCATCTAAAAAAATCAATAAATTTTATTTCTGGCTAGCTCTAATTCACTGAAATAACACAGAAGTTTTCATCTGGAATGAGATTTCAGTTGCAGAGTTTGCACCTTTCATATAACCATCAAATAAGTTTATAGGTAGACAAAAACTAAGCCAGTCCTTGGGAAAATCTGGTAGCTATTTTACTCTTCTGACAGTTGTTTTCCTCCAGATGTACCACAGGGTCTCATGTTCATACTTTTTTTTAAAGATTTTATTTACTTGAGAGAGAATGTGGTGTACAAGCCGGGGAGAGAGGCAGAGGGAGAGGGAGAAGCAGACTCCTCGCTAAGCAGGAAGCCTGATGCGGGACTCAATCCCAGGATCCAGGTATCATGACCTTAGCCGAAGGCAGACGCTTAATTACCACCCAGGCGCCCCAACCTGTTCAGAAGTTTTAACAAATAATCTGTAACAGTGATTATCAAACCTTTTGGTCTTGGAGTCCCTTTCCACTCTTTTTTTTTTTTTTTTTTTTAAGATTTATTTATTTATTTGAGAGTGAGCAAGAGTTAGAGCATGAGCAGGGGCACAGGGAGAGGGAGAAGCAGAATCCCCACTGAGCAGGGAGCCCAAAGTGTGGCTCTATCCCAAGACCCTGGAACCATGACCAAAGCTGAAGGCAGACACTTAACTGACCGAGACACCCAGACCTGGGCCCCCTCTTTCTACTCTTAAAAATTACTGAAGATCCCAAAGAGCTTTTCTTTATGTGGCTTATATCTACTGACATTTATCATAATGGAAATTTAAACTAAGATATATTTAAAATACTTTATTCATCTAAAAATAAAAATAAACCCAGGACTTAACAATACAATATACTTTTATGAAAAAACCACCATTTTCCAAAACCAAAAAATGGAAGAAGAGGAGGAAGAACAAGAAGATGAAGAATAGCAGTGTTTTTATATTTTTGTATATCTCTTTAATGTCTGGCTTAACAGAATACTATTAGATTCTCATTTCTTCTTCTGTATTCAATCTATTGTGACATTAAAAAAAAAAAAAACCAGGGCTCAGAGATATGTAGTAGTTGAAAAAGAAAAGATTATTTTAATGATGTGAAATAGGTAATTGTGGCTTTTTAGACAACCGAGGCTGTTTCTACTTGATACTATACCAAAATGTAGTAAGTGGTAGTTACTTAAAAGTTTGTTGCAATGTGCAATTTGAAACCATGTGAATAAACTTCTCCTACTCTGTACATTAAAAGTACTCTAGTCTATCTTACACTTTAAATGGATCTTTTACCCATATGTGACTGTACTGGTCATACAGAAAACACTGGTTCACTGAGTTACATGAATTTTCCAAATGAGGACATCTGTCATTATAAGATTTATTATTTAAAAGTCACATTTGTTAATATCAGCAATGATCTCATCAGGAAACTCTTTAAATACGGGAAGCTGCCAAGCTTGTGATGGCAGATACAAATTTTCTAAAATCCTAACATTTACTCAAATTTCCACATTTTAGCACCAGCAACAAATACAGTCAGTTGTTTTCCTTTAAGTGACAGTGACAGTCTCTCTTAATTCATTTCCAAGGGACATCCACCAAATACCAAAGTCTGAACAGTTTATTTTAGCTTGAGCTGTTTTTTTTTTTTCTTAACAATCACAGAGCACTTTCCCTGAGACAACCTCATACTTGAGTATACAGCAGACATAGCGAAAGTGCTTTATGTTTACTTCCCATTTATCACATGGGATGTTAAACAGAGTATATACTGAAGGACTGAGATTTAGTAAAATTAATTTACTGTTTCACTGAGGACATCTTTAGGACCTGATGGAATGATTCTTCAAGAGCAGAATTTCAGTCCCTCAGGTTAACTTCAGAATGAAAATTTTCAGGGATACCTGGGTGGTTAGTCAGTTAAGCATCCAACTCTTGCTTTCGGCTCAGGTTGTGATCTCAGGGTCCTGAGATCTAGCTCCCTGTTGGGCTCCCACACTCGGCAGAGTCTGCATGAGATTCTTTCTGCCTCTCCCTCTGCCCCTCCCTGTCGCGCGCACTTTTTCCCAAATAAATAAATAAATCTTTAAAAAAAAAAAAAAAAAAGAAGGAATGAAACATTTCTTTAACAGTATACAAAAAAAGGTAATATGAGTCTTACACCAAGTAGAAAAACAATAATCTTCCACTTCATTCTATGCTCTGCTTAAGGAAGCCAAAGAAAAATGGTTTAGTAATACGACTTTTCTCTGGGCCATTCATTAGAGATAAGCAACAATGAAACAAGATAGGTTTTTGAGAATATCCTGTTTTGTTCTGTTTTGTTTAAGTAGGCTCCAGGTGGCATGGAACCCAACAAGGGGCTTGAACTCACAACTCTGAGATCAAGACCTGAAATGAGATCGAGTAGGGGGGCACCTGGTGCACTCAGTGGGTTAGGCCTCTGCCTTCCGCTCAGGTCATAATCTCAAGGTCCTGGGATCGAGCCCCGCATTGGGCTCTGTTAAGAGGGGAGCCTGCTTCCCCCCTCCCTCTGCCTGCTGCTCTGCCTACTTGTGATCTCTCTCTGTGTCCAATTAATTACTTAATTAAAAAAAAAAAAAAGAGTCGGACACCTAACCAACTATGTCACCCAGGCACCCCATAAATATTTTTCTAAATTTTTTCCTAGGTCTACCTAAAAATTAGTTAAAGTAATGAAAAATCAAATACTTTTTTTTTTTTTTTAAAGATTTTATTTATTTATTTGACAGAGATCACAAGTAGGCAGAGAGGTAGGCAGAGAGAGAGGAAGGCAAGCAGGCTCCCTGCTGAGCAGAGAGCCCCATGCAGGGCTCAATCCCAGGACTCTAGGATCATGACCTGAGCCGAAGGCAAAGGCTTTAACCCACTGAGCCACCCAGGCGCCCCAAATACTTTTTTTTTTTTTTTAAGATTTGATTTATTTATTTGACAGACAGAGATCACAAGTAGGCAGAGAGGCAGGCGGTGGGGGGGAGAGCAGGCTCCCCGCCAAGCAGAGACCCCCCCACCCCGATGCGAGACTCGATCCCAGAACCCTGGGATCATGACCTGAGCCGAAGGCAGCAACTTAACCCACTGAGCCACCCAGGGACCCCCCAAATACTTTATAAAGTAAACTCCCTGCCCAACTTGGGGCTCAAACTCATAACCCCAAGATCAAGTCATATGCTCTACTGACTGAGCCAGCTAAGCGTCCCTGGATAATCAAATTCTTAATAATAACCTCAAACATAAAAACTACTCCCCCTACCCATTAGATGGAATCTCACTGAGAACTCAAAACACATCACAAATGGCATCTCATCTAAAGCACTACATTGGTTTCCAATGATCTCTATGTTAATGGGGAAAAAAATACTACTATGGAGATTAAGGTGGTTATAAGTGAAAACTCCTCAAGAGAGTGATAGAGAAAAATTCACTTCGCACTCTTTACTTGGGTCTCTAATAATAACATTAGTTATTAAGGTAGGGGTGACTGGGTGGTTCAGTTGGTTAAGTTTCTAATCCGGGGTCCTGGGATCAAGCCCCACACCGGGCTCCCTGCTCAGTAGGGAGTCTGCTTCTTCCTCTCATTCTCCCTCTGTGCTTTCCCTCTCTCTTTCTCTCCAACAAATAAATAAAATCTTAAAAAAAATAAAATAAAGTATACTCATCATCGCCCTGGCTACTGGGCAGGCAGATCTCCTTTCAGCCTTCCAGCAACACTGTAAAGCAGATAGGACTGCCTCCATCTTAAAGATGAGCAAACTGAGGCTTAGGGAAGTTAAGGGTCCTGACCAAGATCACACAGCTAGTAAGAAGCAGAAGTGGACAGGATGTGTACTTCCATACTACACATCCTTAATCAGAGGCTATTAATCTAAAGCAGAGTAACAGGGCTGGAGTGCAGAGATACAGGAAAGAAGAAAACTAGAAGGTACTTTGTGCCAGGGACCATTCTGGCCCCCTCAGAACTATTAATTATAGATATTGATAACAACTCTGACAGATCATATAGAATGTACTATTTTACAGGCGTCATAAAATGAGGCCAGAAAAGTTGAGTAACTTCCACTAGGATCCACACTCATTCTTTCCATGATACCACATCACAAAATTGGGACTGAAGTGTTCTCTATTAAAACTGGTTTCTCAAAACATACTTGCGTGACTTTATCTCCTCCAGTTCTTTTGTGAGTTTCTCATTTTTTTCTTGAGCCTCATGTAACCGGCGCTTCAGATCGCCAATCTCCTCTTGGGCCTCAGATTTAATGTCATTTGCAATGACCACAGCAGTCTGGAGATCAGCTTGAAATTGCCGCCATTCCGCAGATTCTTCCTACGTTAAAAAACTAAATTTTTATTTCCAAAAGAAAGCAAAAATACTTACTTAAAAATAATAAAGTGTATTTATAACTGGACTATAATGCACTGTCCCAAATGATGATTAATTTCTTTTAAATCTCAGAGAACTGCTATTATAATTTCGAACAGGTAACAGGTAATACAATTATTAGTAGTGAACTTGTACTTAATGAGGAAAAGACTTTCTAGTTGCTCTGTCTGCTGAGGCATCGAGCACCAGAGTGCTTAATCAATATTAATGACAATAATATCAAGTCTCCCTTCCTTATGCAAGTTTTTAAGTCTTATGAAAATAAACACATCGTTCAAAATTTACAGCATTTTACCTCTGAAAAATAGATAATATGTGTGAACCATACGGAAAGATTTTACAGGGAATATCTATAAATATCTTGACATCAAAAACTAACAGGAAAAAAAAAATCAAAAGTCAAGGAAAAGGAAGAGGAAGCCCGATGAAAAACACTAAACTCAAACTAGGCAGACAAAGTCATACAAAGAGAAGAGCAAAGAACTGTACCGTCTGCTCCTTCCCACAGCCATGGAGGATGTGGGCGTGGCTGGGTGGGCAAGTCTCCCCAGGGCGTTGCCTCCACCAGAGCCACAGCTGCCCAATTCCTGGCCCAGCACCCATCCCCCAACAAAGCGATTTTCTGACACTGTGAATACAGCCTGAGTAACTGAGGCATGACCCAAACTAAGAGATGAGCTTCCCCCACCTCTGCAGTAGACTGGCACTGCTGTCAGCAAGCTGATCAAATCCACAGAAGACAGAAAACCAGATGAAAACAGCTTGGTTTGGGACACTTACTAATCAAGAGCAAATAATTTTTCTTTCCAAAATATAATACTTGCTTTCCAAATCCATCTTTTTAAAACTACCACTCATAAATTATTAGAAGATTCTTCTATCCAGAATCTAGCACTAATCCCAACTTGAAATGATGGCAGTTGCTTTCAGCCCAATGGGCAGGAGGATCAGTATTTTAACTGTATCTGAAGCTTAAGACGAATGCTAACAACGATCAAGGACTACACTGTCCTCAACTTTCAGAAACCTAGGTATTCTAATGAGATAATACATGAGGATTTATCCTACCCGAAGTCTCCTATGGAGTGTCTTGATTTCTCTTTCCATGTCATGTTTCTGGTCCTGGAGTTTTTTAACTGTATCTGAAAAGAGCACAGAAGTTTAAATATATATTCTTAAACCTGTGTTCCAAGGAATAATATAAAGGGAGGTATTTAAATATGACATTGAAAAGAAAGGTCATCCTCCCCAAAGACTTCTTATTTGTAATACAAAACTCTAAAAACAAAAAAAAGAATGTTCAATCCAAGTATTAACCAATACTACTTTCCTAAGGAAAATATCAAAGCTTAAATCACAATTTCTGGATTGCTTCCTTCCTCAGGGTCTTAATTCTGAAACAAAAAGTTAAGTAAAATCAATTGTTGGAAACACATTGTTGGCTCATAACCAATCAAAATATCACTGACTACTATTAAAGTGTGAACTTTTAATCAAAAGGGTTATTTTTTTTTTAAAGATTTTATTTATTTATTTGACAGAGAGAGATCACAAGTAGACGGAGAGGCAGATAGAGAGAGAGAGAGAGAGAGAGAGAGAGGGAAGCAGGCTTCCTGCTGGGCAGAGAGCCTGATGCGGGACTCGATCCCAGGACCCTGAGATCATGACCTGAGCCAAAGGCAGCGGCTTAACCCACTGAGCCACCCAGGCGCCCCAATCAAAAGGGTTATTAAACTAAACTCTTTATGAAAGCATAACTTACTTTACACACTGCAATAAATTCCAGAAAAGTGGTGAATTAGCAAAATTTTTACAAATTTAATTAATTACCCTGGGGAGCTGCTATTTACATTACTTCTACATAAAGTCTTTTTATAAAATAATAATATATTCATAAAATAAATAAAGACTCCTCAAATCATTTCTTACATAATATGAATTTTCCTCAATTACATTTTCACTGTAAACATTTAATGAGTACCACCAATATCCAAAGTACCATTCTAGATAGAGTGGGAATGCAAACATGAAGGCAAAGTCAAGCCCAGTGTCCCTGGAACCAGAAATGTATAGGAAGTCATATTCTACTTGGAGGTTCTGCTCAAAAGTCCATGCTTAAGAGGAAATGGCTGAGGAGGTCGCCCACCGGTAACTGCCACCCAGTAAATCTATCCCAGTTGATTACTTCGACAGCTCAGGGACTGAGAACTTTCTCATGGCTGAAGCATCAAAAAAAGCACTGACATCTGGTGACAAATTCCATGACTTTACCTGCCACCCCCACTCCAGGAGAGCCCTATCCTTTCTGTGTTCCAACTCTGTCTGTGACTACTACGGCCAATCCTCTTACATTTCTTTATATATCTGTCTCTACCACTAGACTGGAAACACTTCAAAGTCAGGCGCTATGTGGTGACTTCACAGCTCCAACACCTGACACATGGTAGGGCTGTAAAATGGAATAAATGTATAAATATGCAGGCTAATGGAGGGAACAAGAGAAAACAATACTCAAATCAGAACCTAAGATTTAAAAAAAATATTCCATTAACAGAATTAAACTCTTTATTATCAAGGACATCACTGCTATAGACACTGGAATTTCTGAGTAAACATTCCTTCCTATTCCTTACACTTACTTAGTAGTAGGAACCTAGGCATAGTGAACACCTGTGTGAGGTGTCACGTGTAATCAAAAAAGTTGTCCTTAAAGAGCCCCTGGCTGGCTGTCAGTAGAGCACAAAACTCTTAATCTTAGGGTTGAGTGTAGAGACCACTCAAAAACAAAATCTTTAAAAAAAAGAATCTTGGGTGCTTCGCTGACATGAGATGCTTGATCTTGGGATTGTGGGCCCAAGCCCCATGTTGGGTTTAAGATCACTTAAAATTAAAATCTTTTCCAAAGAAAATCTTCCTGGGGCACCTGGGTGCCTCAGTCAGTTGAGCGACCAACTCTTGATCTCAACTCAGGTCATGATCTCAAGGTCATGGGATGGACCCCAAGTTGCTCCACACTCAGCAGGGAGTCTGCTTCTCTCCCTCTCCTTGTGCCTGTCCCCCCACTCACGCCCTCTCTAATAAAGCTTACAAAAATCTTCCCTCAGTTCACAAATTATTAACTTTTAATCAACACCCTAAAGTAGGAGTGTGCTACTGTCTTTTCTTAAACTGTTCATCTTCCCCCTCTCAGTTCCATTAGGAACCTACTCTGCTGTAGACCTCTGTGACATGAAGCCTTTAATTCAACACTGATACATCTGTGTTCAGATATTTTTACTTTTTTAATTTTTAAAATTTTTCTTTCTTTCTTCTTTTCTTTTCTTTTTTTTTTTAGAGAGAGTGCATGAGCAAGGCAGGGAGGGGCAAGGGGCAAAGGGAGAGAGAGAATCTTAAGCAGGCTCCACGTTCAGCACAGAGCCCAACACAGGGCTCAGTATCACAACCCTGAGATGATGACTTGAGCTGAAACCAAGAGTTGGATGCATAACCAACTGAGCCAAGGCACCCCCAGTATTATATATGTGTAATAATTATTGTAAATATATAATGACAATATGTTTTCTAAAGCTAAATAAAAAACAAATGAGATAAAACATGGGGGGAAATCTGGCCAATTTTGGTAGCCAGTAGCTAATTCTCTCCCATTCAACACAAAATTGTTCAACAAAGTTGAGGTCTCTGAAATAAGGATTCAAAATTAAAAATTAACTCAACGAATACCTCATTAAGTACCCTCTTTGTACCGGGCTTTTTTCTAGATGCTTAAGATATAAAGGAAAAGGAAAAAAAATACAGTCCTTACCTACAGACAGAAAAGAGGATGTTTTCATATGAAAAGGATTAGACTTTAAAAGTCTATCTCTACAGAGCTACTTCTGACCTCATTTAACCTGGAAACTGAGGGTCAAAAGGGCCATTCAATTTGATTAAGAGCAAAGTGGACACCAGTGAGTGAGTCCAATACCCTGATCCGTATCTCTGGAGGCAAAGATGACTCAAACCAGCATGGATCATCGGCTCCCATATGACCTACATACAGCTGAATTCAAGGTCTTGGTGATACTATCAGACGTAAATAAGGACAGAAGATAAAATATTTTTAGTATTGGGAACACTACGAGTTACACCTTTCATTTACACTATATTTAAATGTAAGAATTTGGAGGGTGCTTGGGTGGCTCAGTCAGTTAAGTGTCTGCCTTCGGCTTAGGTCATGATCCGAGGGTCCTGGGATCGAGCCCTATGTTGGGCTCCCTACATGGCAGGGAGCCTGCTTCTCCCTCTCCTTCTGCTGCTCCACCTGCTTGTGCTCTCTTGCATGCTCACCCTCTCTCTGTCAAATGAATAAATAAAATCTTTTAAAAAATTAAAAACAAACAAATAAATGCAAAAAGTTTTATAATGAAAATAGGAAAAAAAAAGTGAATTTCTCCTCCTCAGCTGAAAACTGTTTTCCACTTTTTCTGGTCACAAAAGACGTATCTACGAATCTTCAGATAATTCACATAAGACAAATGACAGCAAATCTAACTACTGCTCACCTTTAACATCTGGTGTGTCTTAATTCTCAGTTAACATTTTAAGCCACCTGACCATCTTAGACTGGTCATAAAATCCAAGATTTCATTCATTTCTTTGGCTCTTATTCTTTTCTCTTTCCCAAACTCCACATTCATGGCCACATCATCGCTATTCTTAAAAGGGCATTCTTCTGGGGCGCCTGGGTGGCTCAGTGGTTTAAAGCCTCTGCCTTCAGCTCAGGTCATGATCTCAGGGTCCTGGGATCGAGCCCCACATCGGGCTCTCTGCTCGGTGGCGAGCCTGCTTCCCCCCCACCCCCTGCCTGCCTCTCTGCCTCTGTCAAATAAATGAATAAAATCTTAAAAAAAAAAAAAAAGGGCATTCTTCCACACTCAGCACTATATATTAATTATTGTTGTGTTTTATTAAACCTTTTAAACAGAAAGGAAAGGAAGCTGGCAGCCAGTGGACATATTTAGACAGAATAAAGTTCACTATAAGTATCTCTAGGGAATTTGACTTAAACTTCATGAATCATAACTATCTTTGCTTTGTAACATAAAGTATTAAAAATGATAACAGGCTTTTCTCCTCGGAAACCAAAGGACTCTGTATCTATGCTCTTGTTCTGAAGACCAGCTAAACAAAACTGCCATCTGGCCCAATTAACGGTCACACAAAAAGGCACTGTTAGTTGTCAAGTCCGGGGCCACTAAACATGCTAAATGCACTAGAAATTCCTCCTCCGAAGTTCTTCTAGTATGGGGGACACTGCCATCTACTGTCTTCAACTCAAAAGCAACATTACATTCTATCAAAGATCAGAAGAACTACTACAATCTCATTTTTAATTACAAATTATAACTCAACTTTACAAAGTTATTTTTATTCTAGAAATCAGATAAACTGCTATTCTCATTGGCATTAGAACAACTTTGCTCTGAATAGTTCTGGGCACTGCCCTCCCCATTTAATAATGGGGTTCACAATCTTTTCCCTACTAAGACCTCTCATCCCTGACAGAGAAGGAACCACCAACCGGGCCTTCGTTCTGGCCCAGTTAAATGCCCATCACACATGCAGATGTTACCTACCATGAGCACAGCTACCATAAGCACAGATTCAACTCGGGGGTGGGGGGTGTAAAAAAATCAACGAAAGTTCACAAGCAACCTTTCCTGCCCGCCAAATACAAGAAAACCCTCAGGGCACTGATAGCTCAGTGCTGTCAGACCCTTGCATCCCATCGAGTGCTTTCAACTAACATCACGTGCAATTTCTAGAGGAAGGGAAAGGACAAGTGTAAACCATCAGTTAAAATACTATGCCTTGGGGCGCCTGGGTGGCTCAGTGGGTTAAAGCCTCTGCCTTCAGCTCGGGTCATGATCTCACGGTCTTGGGATCGAGCCCCGCATCGGGCTCTCTGCTCAGCGGGGAGCCTGCTTCCTCCTCTTTCTCTCTCTCTGCCTGCCTCTCTGCCTACTTGTGATCTCTGTCTGCCAAATAAATAAAAAATAAATAAAATCTTAAAAAAAAAAAATACTATGCCTTAGGGTCACGTTGGGGGAGATGGGCAGTACATTCCGCCATCAAGCCACAGCTCTAGCTTTATCTCCAAACC